TCATCATCATTGTTCAGATATATCCCTTTTCATTTTGTTCTGCTATTTTTCAATCATCAATTTTATAATGATGTATACTTGTCGATGGACATATCCAATTATCATTGACTTTTTTTTGTTTGTTTGTTTCATGTTTAGATGATAATAGTTTTATGTTATGTAATTATGATTGATATGTTTCTCCGTCTCTCATTCATTTTCATTTTCATGATTGATTAATTAATTTGGATTTGTCATCATCATTTTGTTTTACGTTGTAAAATTTGATAAAAACAAAATTCTATTGCAATGTAATTAAAAACAAAATTCCTTAAATGATTACATATTGATTAATTGTTAATACTATTTATAAGTATCATTTTGATATTTTTGTTTTATTTATTTATTTTTGTTTTGTTTTATGATTTCCTTACAATCAAACCATTTCTTTATCACTTTATTCATTTCTTTATGGGAGTTTGGTTTTAATTTTTCTTTTACTCCGTTTTTGTTTTTGCTGGATTCACTTGTTGCCTCTTGATGTTTTTTATACGATATGATATTTATTATTGGCTCATCATCGCCTGCATATTCTTTAATGGATGAAAATTATTACGATATGGCCCATTATCATTTTTGTTTCTTCCCCTCTTGTAAAGCAATGATGATGATGATGATGCAATTACATTCTTTATCATATGTTGTATTAGAAACATTCATTTTTTTCCAAACTATAGTGTGTATTCCAATATGTATGTGAATTATAAGTAAAATAGTTGTGAGGTCATTGTCCGATGGCGCCATACACAACCAATAACCCACACACACACACACACACAAATGTATACTATACAAAACACATACACATTGAATTCATACATACATCAAACTAAAACTAACCAACCAGACTATAATTGGGCGCCATTGGATTTAAAGCCATTTTTGTTGTTGTTTTCTTCTTGGTAGTTTGTTTCAAACCGTAATGTTTTGTTTGTTTGTTATTCATTCATTTTTGATAATGAATAACGCATGTGTTAAACATGGATATTTATATCATCTGGAAGAAAAAAAATTTATCACTCAATTCAATCAATTCATACAAAGAATATTATTCTAAAATATTACCATCATCATGGCGTCCATTCTGGCTTTAGATAATCAGAAAGAATTATGATGGTTTGACTTGTTTGTGTTGAATTGTCGAGAATAGAACAGAATAGAATAGAATAAAATATCATCAGATTAGACCTAGCATAGAGGACATTGACATACATTCAGGCTTGGGTTATTTCGTTTTTTATCATTTTATATTGTTTGCCTTTTTCATTGCATGGAGGTTATGTGGTTTTTTTGTCTTCACTGTATTCAGTTGCCAAATAAAACCCTTCAACCAGAACATGTTGAATAAGCCAAAAAAAATATGGCGCCCAATGGTAGATGGGTTAGTTTTGTTTTGTTGTGTTTGGTTGGTAGTCATAGGGATGCTATGAAAAAAAAAATTCGATGTACGGTTAAAGATTATACTGGAAGGTGTGGTATCAAATGTTATATGTATGTTATATGATGTTTACGGCCCTATGATTTATACTACTATGTAGTTGTTGATAGGTCGTTGACTGTTTTCGAAATATGTAGAATTTTTATTCATTTTAGTCATTTGTTTGTTGGTTATTTTTCAGAAAAAAAAACATCTGGGCGTAATATTTATAATTAAATGACAAGTTTTTCTATTGATCTTAATCTGATTTCGATTTTTTTTGTCTTTTTCTTTCTTGATTTCCATAAGTATAATCAATTGATCGATCATAAGAATGATTTATTTATTTATATCAGATTTCGCAGCTGGGAAAGATTCCTAATAATAATTGAGAAAAAAAAGACATATATTTGGAACAGACAAACTTTTTGATTTGCTTGTTGTTTATTTAGATTTGAATCTTTACATATTTGAATATTATTGATTCAAAACAAAAAATAAGCAAGATTAACTCTTTGATTCTCTAAAATAGGAACACAAAATTATATTACTATTGAAATCATAAATAAAAAAACATAATCTTTTGATCTAGTGATCAATTGATCTATCTAGATTGATTGATGCTAAATTTAGATCTAACAACAAACACAATCATGCATCATTAACATCAACAATATAAGAATTGATTGAATCATTTCAATCATAACAGTTTGATTGATTGATTGATTGATTTTCTTTGAATTAAAACCATACTGAACACCTTATTTGTTTTATTTTTATGTAAAAACATGATTTCGATAAACAACTAATAACTTGTTCATGCATGCAACATTTGAATAGTTTACATATAGAGTTTTGCATTTTTTTTCTGTATATTTTAAGTGATTAATTTGAAAACTTGATTATTTCACATTTATATAAATGATGACAAACAAACTTCAATATTATATTGAAGTAAAATAAAATATATAAAGATTCGTTGTTTGTTGTTTTTTTGGCTTTGTTTCAAAACATTCTGTAAATTTTATTCACATTATTTCAGAATTGTATCTAATTTCGTTTGTTTTGTTTGGTTTTGTTTATCATTCGTCTGAATCCGACCAAAGTTTGTTTTCTTAATTTGCTCCAATTTTTTTTTTGCCTCATTTTCACACTTTTCGCAATTCCAAAACCATCAAAATATTATTAAATATAATTGTCGTCATTATTGACATAACCGAATTTTCTTTTTTTACTTCAATAATATTTACAACTGGATGAATGATGGCAATTTTGGTTTGACTGTCTTTCGAATATTTTCGCCCCACTGATTATTTTTGGTTTTTTATTTATTTTTTCAAATTCATAAGAGAAAAAAGAAACTGTCTAGATATTTTCATTTTGTTCCACGTGCAACCATAAAAAATAAAATTATTTTTTTTTGCCATATAAATATGGCACCATTCTTTTCAATCGATCGATTTAAGCTATATTCATTCATTCATTGATAGTTTCGGCTCAATAAAAGCTTGATGATGATGATGATGATGAACCACCTCCACCTTAACTCTTTTTATATAAATAAAAAAAACAACGATACATTCATTCTCTCATCATCATCATCATCATCGAAATAATCATTTTCAAAATAAATTCATTTCCGCGTTCTCTCTTTGCATTTTCCTATAGTCATTCATTCATTCATTTTTTTTGACTTGTTTATCGTATTTGAAATGATTCGATGCCGGTGGTGTTGTTTGTTGGTTGGTTAGTTGGTTGACTGGCGATGATTAAGATGATGATGGTGATAGTCAATAGAAAAAAGGGAAAGAAAACAAAAAGTGAAAGTTGTCCGAAATGTTGAATGAAAATAAATCGAAATTTGTCGTCATTCCATTTCATTTCATACGTTGTACATTTCATATACGGGATTTATTTTTAGAATTTTCAGAAACCCAAACACTTTGTGCAAAAAAAGAAAAAGAACGAAATAAAAGAGAAAGAAAGAAAAAAAGAGATAGTTTCATTGGAATGAAAACAAGTAAAGTAGTCGACAACAAAGAGTCAGCCAGTCCAAACGTTGTCCGAATAACGGTTATTTTTCTTTTTCCAACCAATTGCAATAAATGAATCCAAAATCTAAAAGTAAAATTATAATGTGAACGTAGTGCGTGGTGCGATATTTTCGGATTTCGATAATGATGATGACGACGATGGTGGCTGTTGTATGTCTAAATAAATTACCAAAAAAAAAAAAGAAAGAAAGAAAAAAAAAATTCAACCTGTTGTTTCTCGTTTATTTGAATCTTGGTCTCTTTTTCTTATTTCGTTATTTTTTTTTTCTCGAGCTCGTGCATTTCTATGCACGCATTGAAGCTCGTGTTATTTTTATTTTTAAAAAAACCATTTTCTCTTTGGAATTTATTTTTTTTCCAAACAACAATCATAATGATAATGATGATGATGATGATGAAAACCAGGTGTACCCGTAAATACTATGAATTAACGTCACTATTTCTTTATTTTTTTTTGTAAATCATCAACGGAGGATCCTCTTATTGTCTTCAAATATGGGCTTGATGGAATCAAAATGGAACAAATGGACGTCATAGTTGTATAGTTATTATTGTGTTCCATTTTGATTCATTCGTTTTGGATCGACACGCAAACAAAAAATATTTATTGACATGGACATATTGATAGGCGGTCTTAAACTAAATTCAAAAATAGTTACCGAAACGTCGTTTTTGATCTTTTTTTTCGAAATGATATATACCTGTTGTTGTTGTCGTCCCACAGGATACATTAAATCTTAGTCCCGATTTAATGAGGGGCAAAAAACCATTTCATGATGATGATGATGATAAAACCATGAGCTACATTTTATCATTGCAAACACGCAAACACGCGTTTTGCTACTTTGAACACAAACGAACCGAATATAATAATACAATCAAAACAACAACAACAACAACAACGGGTCAATTAACTTGGATACATCGAATTTAATAACCACATCCAACAACAACAACAACAAAAAATTAACTGAAATGAATGGGTTGTTGAATCGAATTTATTATCTTTTTTTTGATTATAACAAAAAAAAAATTAGTCTGAATAGAATCAATCAAAAATCAATCAATCAATCTTGAAAAAACTGTTTTTTTTTGAATTACCGATAGATTTTCTTGAACAATTTTTTTTCTCAGATAAAAACTAATTGTTGCCCTCATTTATTTGTATTATCATGTGGGAAATTTTAATAGTGGTTACTTTATTTTGACCATTTGATTATGTTACTATTGTTTTCTAAATTTTAATTTTGATTTCTTTTCTTTTTTTCGATTATTCAAACAGATATTCGTTTGGCTGGCTGGATTGAATTTGTTGACGAAGAAATTCTAGACGAATTCTCTTTTTAATTTGATTATTCAAATGGAAAAAAATGTTGCCGACAACAGAAAACAAAAGCAAACAGAATTTAAATCCACATTACAATCGAATGTATCGACTAACAAAGATTCAATTAATAATCTTATCATTCTCATAAAAATAAACTATTAAATCTAAACAAAAAAACAAAATCCATTCCTTTCAAATTTTTTTCATTTATTATCAAAAAAAAAAATTTTCCGACATTATTCAAATGTTATCCACACAAGGTGTTGATCTGATTGTCAAAACAACAACAGCGGCGACGATATCAGCTACAGCAGTTTCCGATCATCGTCATCAAAGGCCATTGTATAATATTAGTAATAGCAATAATAATAATAATCATTCAAATGAAAATACATATAGTCATAAATTTAATAGGACTAATAATAATCAATTATCATCATATCATCAAATACCGGAAAATTTTGAAACTTATTTCGATTTAAATAATACTACGGTTGAAGAACGATTCCAATCGGATGATTTATTGATCGAACAAGAAGAATCGTTATTCATACCGTGTACGGATACAATAGAATTTGACGATTTGGAAAAAACAACAATGAGCAATAGTACTCAGGTTTCAGTACCACCCGTTCAATTTCTCCAAACAAATACGTTTGGTGAATTAGTCATGTCCGGATCTGGCCAGATTAATGAATCGATGATGAATAATAATAATAATCATCATCATCATCATGAATTATCACATCATCATCAACTTTGGAGTCATTCAGTAAGACTTTTTCTGATTGTTAAAAATAGATTTTATTTTAATTAATTTTTTCTTAATTAGGATTTTGTTAATGGAGTCAGTTCGACGTCGGCAAATAACAATAATGGTGGTGATGCAATAAATTCAAATGGCCAAACAATGATGATCGATGAAAATGGCGATACGACAGTCGTTCATAATGGTGCAATTACGATTATATCAAATGGCCATCATCACCATCATAATCATCATCACAATACTCCAGAACTACATGAACTAACACCTACAGATTTATCAAAATTTTTGGACGATGATGATCTAATGGGCCCAAGCTCTAATCTTTCGGATACAGTCATGAATGGTGTACATGGCTCTTCGGCTATGAACAATGCATTTGTTTGTGATCTTGATTCATTATTGGATGATCTCCACGCTGATTCCACCCATCTTTTGTTAACAAATCCAGAAAAATTACTTTCACAGCACAATGATGGAACAACTACGACGACCAATAATAACAATACATCTTCAAATACGAATTCCTCTTCCTCATCATCATCATCATCACCTCCAAGTCAACAGCTTCAACATTTAAATTTAAATCTAAACAACAGTAATAATGACCAAATTGAAATTCTGTCCACAACAAGATCAAACAACAATAATCAAACCATTCTACTCTCGTCATTATTATCCTCATCATCATCATCCTCATCATCCACATCATCAAATTCATCATCTACATCAACATTATCACCGACACCGATATCAAATGATGACGATCATACAACAACGATAATTACGACTATAGATTTAGACATACCAAATTCATATAACACAAATGAAAATCATTGTTCATCGACGAACAATACTGCTAATAGTAATAATTCAATGATCGAAAATAATTCCATAGTGATCGTATCATCACCAACATCTACATCTACACCGCCACAATTTGGATCCCAACAACGTCAACAACAGCAACAATCAACGAAATCTAATCTTGCTACAACGTCAGTGTCAGCGACAACCACAACTACCATGTCGAGGACTATTAATTCCAATTATTCGTTACCATTGGCTAGAAAAAGCCAAACAGTCAATGAAAAACCACAACAACAACAACAACATCGTCGAATCTCAATTGAAACTCGTGAACATCTAGGCAAACCAATATTTTCATCATCTCGATCAACTAATCGTCATCAAACATCTCAACAACGACAAGTAACTCAACAACAATCTCAACCATTACCGGATTCAACAACACCGACACCTTGTTCATCTAATTCAACAAACAAATTAACAAATGGTGGTTCGATTTTACAAAATGCATTATTACAACCTCGTACAACATCTTCAACAACATCATCAATATCTACACAAAATTCTAATTCATCCACAACGAACAAAAGTAATAATGATTCCACAAAAAGTGAACAATTTTATAATTTAGTGCAACAGCAGCAACAACAACAACGCCAACAACAACATATTTCATCGAAAAATAATTCTAGTAAGTGTGGTATATTTTTATCATGAATATAAAAAAATTTTCGATAGATAAATATAGCTAGATTGATGTGTAATTTTTTCTGTAAAAAAAATATATTTTATACATTTTATGATTGACATATCTTTTTTATTGTTCTTGTTATTATTTATGACCAATTTCCTAATCAAAGTATACTTATATCACCAGAAAAAAACAAACAAATATGTAGTATACTAAATTTATTTTGTTTTTCGATCAAATTTTTTCTATTTTTTTTTGAGAGAAAAACAATAGAAAATATTTTCTTTAATTGATAATTTCTTCATCAAGTCGAATTTACAAATATAACAGAAATGATTGAATGAATGAAATTTCTAAAAATAGCCAAAAAAAACAAAACTAAATAGGTGTGTAGACAAGATAGATTTTAAAAGATATTTTGTTTTTTTTTGTGTTTACTGATTGATCAAACACCTGTTTTTGTACATAGATGTTCATATTTATGATCTGATTTAAATTTTTTTTTTTGGAAATTCAATCAGATCCTATTTCCAATTATTATTTATTACTTTTTTTTTCTAATATTTATGTTGAAAGAACCCTTTTTTCCCCTTGATAAATTATGATGCACCTTTGTTTCACGATTCATATGGCATGGCATTTCACTTTCATTTTCATTTGATGATTACAAAATTTTTGTGATATGCTAACAACGATAACGACAAGAACATAGTTAATCAGTTTGTGTTGGATACGGTTATCGTTTGATTTTTTGCTGTTGCTATTTTTATCAAAGATTGTGTGTATAGAAGAGAGCCCTACTCAGCATTGCTCAGTTCCGAAGAATATTTTGAAATGAAATAAATTTCACTTTCAACCAATAACCAGCATTATTATCAGTCTTTTGTATTTGTCTAATAGCTTTGTTCTCTATATTTTTGTTTCTCTTCCTATTTTCTTGATTTGATTTGAAAATTTGGGACGAACAGCGGATGATGAACAACTATGTTTCTTTGTTTCTGGTCATATGTTTTTTTTTTGTTGGACCAGTTCAACAAGTTTCTCTTCATTCGATTTCCTCTTTTGCACATTTGGCTACATTTAATTTTCAAATCAAACAAATCAACGATAGCCATCTAGTGAGCATTTGTTGCGCTTTTTCTATCATTTTCAATTGTCGATCAAAAGATGGCGACTTTAAAAGATATTCATTTAATTATCAATAGATGGCAGTAAAACTTATTTTGATTTTAAAATTTTTTTTTTGAGGCTATTTCCCATTGATTGAATAATATCGATTTTATTTGATTGAATAATAATTTTCAATCAATCATTTAATCTTACGATTGATTTTTTTGTTTTTTTCATTTGTTGTTTTCGTTAATTTACCACAGGCATAATGTATGGAAAATTTTTCTGAAGATAACAATCTTTTATTTCTAACGTCTGATAATTGATTATGAATACAAAAATAAATCAATGTATTATTATAAAAATTGGACTCTCATTCTCCCTCTTTCTTTTCTTTTTTTTTCACAAGTAAAAAAAAAATCTTTCTTTCCATCTTATTAATTTGTTATTCCATATCGTTCAAACATAAATGTCAGGGTCTTTTAGGATTTCTCATCAATATTTGATATGGAAATGTGAAAAAACAAATTTCTTTTTTCTTCTTAACAAATTATCAATTATAACCAAAGAAAAGATAACTCAATGGAATATTTATTTCTTCTGAATCCACAAAAAAAAACTTGTTGATCTGATTGAATCAATTGATCGATATATGTGTGTGTGTGAGGGTAATTAGAAACACCAATCATGCACAAATATTTCTTTTTTGTTTGTTTGTTTTTTTCCTCTAAGTTAAGGAAAATTGAAATAAAGTAAAATCAAGTTTTTTTTTGTTTGTTTTTGGAAATGGTTTTCAAATAATGATAATGATTTTTATGTTTTGTCATTTGGTTTGTCGCACACATACACACACACACCAATGATACATTTGATAATGAACGGATGCATACAAAAATGTCCTTCAACTTGAACGCAAATGACATTGATAATGTTTTTTTTTTATCATTGACGATGGACATATCTTTTTGTTTGCAATTCTTTTTCTCTTGTTCGATCATTGATCAAAAAAAACCTTGAGACACTTGTATGATTTTTTTTTTGAACATAAAGAGTTTTTTCTTGTTGAATAGAAAAATTTACAATTTCTTTTTGGGGATATTTTTCATTTGTTGTTTGCATTCGTTCGTTAAAATGTCATTGATAATAATGTAGTTGTTGTTTATCAAATAATATTACAGAAAAAACCAGGTTCATCATTAGCGATCCTTAAATAAAATAGTAAAAGAATTTAACAAGAAATAACAACAACAACAAAAATATAAGGTGAATTAATGATATAAAATTCCAAGTAACCAATCAATATATGTCATATATGGATTCGGTATTCGTTTTTTTTTCTTCAACAAGATTCCGGATCAAAAACCTTTCTATTCTGGATATCTATATTCTGTACAGATTCTTTGATATTTTTCTATTAAGAGATATTGTTGTTGCTAATGATATAAACAAAAACTATTTCAACAGTATCATTTGACATTTAAAAGAAAAGAAAAATTCTTCAAGTTTAACAGTGAATCAAGGATTTTTTTTCGCACTGTACAAAAAAACAAAAATTTATTATTAGCTAAAATGGATTTTGAAAAAAAAAATATATTTTTGTACTTGTTACAGGTTTGATCCAAAAAAAACACGCACTAACAATTTATTCATATAGTCATAACATGTTTTTTTCAAAATAAACACAACAAGGACAAGGGCAAGGCCTTACTAACTAACTAACTACTTTTAATTTCTGTATTTGTCTGTAACAATAATAATAATGAAGCCAAAATAATAATAAAGGATAAGGTCAAGGTAGGACGTTTTTTTTTCTTCAACATTTAGCTTGTTTTCGTCAAATCCAAAAAATCAAAATTTTTTTCTTCTTAGTTGTCGTTATCCGTCAATGGTGTGAAGGCCTCTTTTGGCTTTTTTTTTTGCTTGCCTTGTTGGAATATTTTGATGATGTTTGTCCCTCTGTTGTGTGTGTTAGTGTATGCCTGTGTTAAGTCACCCTTTTTTTTGTATTTAAATAAATTTTTATATAACAAAAATAGTAGTGATTATGATGATGATGATTGATTCATTTCCCTTGACCCTGATCAGTTCCTTTCTGCGATTTTGATGATTTACTATCACAACACTGCATGTTGTTTTTTTACGATTTTTTTCATTTTTGATTGTCGTCTAACAAACAATCAGCACATCCTGAATTTTGAATGAATTTGATTTTTGAAAAAAAATAATAAAGGTTATTGCATCTATTTTTAGTCTATAAATTCATTCGTTTGATATATGTTTTTGGGAATTTGATTGAAATACGAAAAATCGATTGTTTCGTCGATAAAAGGAAAGGAGTAAATATTTGTTGCTTGTGTTATATAAAAAAGAATTTTATTTTATTTTTTTTCAAATATTTTGCGCTCCTATCGTTATTTCAAATACAAATCATCATAAAATTATCATAAACAGAGTGAATAAATAACAAAAAACAACAACAACAAATAGCAAACAATTTGCTGTTTATCGAAAATAACTTTTTTTTTAAATAATAATAATAAAAAGAAAAGAGAGAGAGAGAGAGAGAGAGTGAAAAAGAATGGAATTTGCAATGAATTTTTGTTGTTGTTGTTGTTTTTGTCGACGTTGTCGTTTATATTTTTGTTGTTGGGAAAAAACGAACGAAATGTGAATGTCTTATTCCAAGGACACAAATGATGATCGTATTTGAATTTGATTTCGTTTCTTTTCGTTTTGTTTTTTTTTCGCAAGAAAACGGCTTATTATTTTTGTTCATTCAGATTTGCAAATATCGAGGATTTTGTTGTGATAAACAAGTGAATACTGAATATAGAAAAAAATAATAATTCTCTTTCTGTTGATTCTTTTCGATTCTATACTAATTTCAGCTAGATGGCGTTTTTTTGCTAAATTCTTTTTTTCAATCAAAAGTTACAACAGTTATATTCAATTTGTTCATTTGCAAAAATTATTATTGTTTGAATATCAAGTTATTCAAATGAAATGAATGAAAAAAAATGACTAAATCATTTTGCATTAATGATTATTTTCAATTTGATAATATTGCCAACAACAACAACGACAAATAGAAAAAAACATTTTTTATTTTGTTTTTGTTTTTTCTTTCCTGAGAATATCCACATACATGTACCATGTATGTGTTATTGAACTTGTAACTAAAAAAAATGACTATCATCATCATGTAATAGTTTTTCTTTTTAAAAAATATGTAATCATTTCATTTTTGTTGCGAGTTTTTTGCTAATTTTGAAATGTACATTTTCAAATTTTTCATTTTTAAAATGTAGTTTTTTGGGGCGTCCAACCTAAATAAATGATATTTTTCCTGCGGTTTTGAATTTCAAATATTTGTAAAAAAAATTAAAGCATCGGTTTACATTTTTGGGTTGAATAGATATTTCAAAACGATGAATTTGAATTTTGATTTTCTATGAATGAATAATAATTAGCTAAACACCCTACGCATATCCGCATCTTTTTTCTAACGACATAATTTCAATTGTTGGAAAAAAAATTCTTTGAATTTTATTTAGAATCAAGTTGTAACCTAGAAATATATTTAAAAAAAAACCGGAAAACTGATGATGATATCTGTATCACACACAGACACACATAAGCAAACACAAGAAAATCAAAAATAAGTGACAGTTGTTGTTGTTGTTGTTGTTGTTGTCAGACAAGTAATTATTTGTTTAGTAAAATAAATAAACATCATAACAACAACAACAACAAATTTTCAAGGCTAAAGTTCAAGGATACAAGTTCAGTTAATAAGTACAATTTTATTAAATCTTTTCTTGTTGTTGTTATAAATATGTTACGATTAAGATTGTATCAAAAATATTTTCATTTAATGATTGTCATTAATG